AAAAAAAAAAAAAAAAAGTTGCTGTGATGAATTAGCACATGAAGCGAATTAAAAACATGGTCCTGAGTCCACAGGTCCAACTGCTTGCTTCCTCTGGGTAGCTGGCTGTGCCCAAGAAGTGACTACAACGTTGTCCCTGGTCAGCTCTATTATGTTGTTGTTATGTGCCATCGAGTCAGACCTGAGTCATAGCGACCCCTCCTTGGGTTTCCAAGGCAGTATCACTATGGAAGTAGATTGCCCCATCTTCCTTCCGAGGAGTGGCTGATGGGTTTGAATAGCCAGTCTTCTGGTTAGCAGTCAAGTGCCTTAGCCACTATGCTACACCTGGGAATTCTTACAGAATATAGCGATACACTTGTAGAAACATTGTCTGCCAACCCTATATATGGTCTTGGGCACACACTGCCCTGCACAGACATACCTAATAGTTCAGCCTGTCCACCCATCTATCCACCCATATATCCATGTTTGCCTTCACTGTCAAGGTCACATAGTTTAAAAGTTACAAGCCCCAGGCCCTAGAGCCTACCCTCCTAATCACCACCTGACAGCTTTCTTCATAGCTTCTCTAAACCCAATTCCCAGCACATTGTAACCAGAAAAAGCCCAGAGCCAAGCTAGAGGTTCAAAGACTTTTAGGGCAAGAAATACAGAGACAGGAACTGAACATTAAGGGAGTTCGGGACTTTGGAGAGGAGGCTATGGTTGAAGCTTAAGAAGCATTAAAAGTGCAATGTGAACATGGGCAGAAGGTGATAAAATGAAGCCTTGTAAAGAAATGGCCAAAAATGAGGGCTGTAAAGTCAGAAAGACCTGGTGTTATTTTTAGTCTCTACTACATGTGTATGTGTGCCTTTGAAATGGCTACTTAACTTCCTGAGTCTCCTTCCCTAATCTATAAAATGAGTGATACTAATTTTTACCTTCAGGATTGTTTTGAGGTTAAAGTAAACAATGAATACAAAGTTTTGGGCCACTTAATAAGGGCATAAGTAATAGCAGTCATGGTTATCATGGAGTCCCTGGGTAGTGCAAATGGTTAAGTACTCAACTAGTAGCTGGATGGTTAACAGTTCAAAGCCATCAAGAGGCTCTTCTGTTTCCGAAAAGTTACACCCTGGAAAACCCTATGGGGCAGTCCTACTCGGTGCACGTGGAGTCACCATGAGTCAGTATCAGTTCAAGGGCACCCAAAAACAACATGGTTAATCATCCCTAACCTAATCATCTGCCGCCAGCATCACCTCCCAGATTAAGTAGGGACAAAGTGAAGGGCACTGACCTGGGACTTGAGATCAGAAGACCCAGGCAGTAGCCTTGGGTTACTGCCACTTTGCTATGTCCCTGGGTTAGTCACTGGGCCTTGCATATTCTATAAAAGTGGCATAGAACTATGTCTATCATACTTTCTTCGTAGAAATGCATTAAGTCTGAAATAAGGTAGTATATGTGAAAATGGTTTGCAGTCTAGAGAGTGTGTGTCAGATTCCCAAGGAAATTTGGTAGAAGGACTCATGGGCCTTAACATTTAGGTGTACTCACAACCATGGCTTATTACGGCAAAAGGATGCAAAGTGAAATTAACAAAGGAAAGAGGTGCATGGAGCAAATATCAGAGGAAACTAGGCACAAGCTTCCAAGGCTTCTCTTCAGTGCAGTTACACAGTTTACACTTAATTTCCCAAGCAACTAATTGTCACAGCAGGTATGAAATGCCATCTACCAGAAAACCTTAATAGAGACTCAGTGCCCTGGGCATTTGTTAGAGGCTGGTCACATAGGGACCCTCAGCTTAGAAGGTACCAGATATTCCAGACTCCTAGAAGAGAAATAGGTGTTCAGCATAAACCATTGTTTGCACAAATAATGTAGACACTGTGAGCTATTTTTACCAGGTAATTTTTGGGAAAACTCTGAAAATTGAAGTTCCCAGACATCAACCAAGAGCCATACTTGCAAGCTAACCTTTTTAAGGTTAGTTGTCTCAGGCCTGCTGTGTTAACTCTTTTCTGTACAAAGTCTAATCTGTGGAAAGGATTTTTATGATTGCCACTATGTGCTATGCACTATTCTGTGTGCTTTATATATGATACCTTATGTAGCACTTGAGAGCTCTGGTGGCATAGTGCCCAAGGCATTTGACTGCTAACCAGAAGGCTGGCGGTTCAAACCCACCAGCCATTCCCTGGAAGGAAGGTTGGACAATCTATTTCCATAGAGATACCACCTCAGAAACTTGACTATGAGTCAAGTCCAACTCGACGGCAATGTGTATGTAGCACTTTATTCTTGTTACAATTCCATGACGGCAGTACTGTTTCTGATATTGTGATCATCATCATCACAGGAAATGAGGCCTAAGAGAGGTTAAACAGTTTGTTCAGGTAACTACCTATATAGCTAGTAAGAAGTAGTAGGACCAGGACATGGCCCTGACAATCTGGCCCGTGTCTATATTCTTAGCCACTGTGCCACACTCTGTTATATTACACCTACCACGGGCTGGGTGCTTTTATATATGTTATTTCATTAATGCACACAGCTGCTCCATGCTTATTGGACTAATTTTGTATCTGTGGCTCAGGAATATAACTAATTTCTGTGGCATCTCACACCGGAGAAATGGCAGTGTCAGGAGTGGCTTCTGTGTGTGGCCCAAATTCCTGACTGTAGCTTTGTCTGAGCCTTTGGTCGGGAAGATGCAGATAGTGGAGGTGGCAATGATTCGCTCTGGGAACTCAGAGTAAGAATGTCTCCCCCTAATTCCATGACTTGGGGACTGAGTTAATGGAAGAAGGGGATGTGTTGTAAATGATTTAACTTTTCCTGCAGTATTGGAGAGGTTTAGATGCTGTCTTCAGCTCTTTTTGGTTGCCATGACAGCAGATGTGACATTTCTTTTATGAGGAAAGAAGAAGAAAAAGAAATAATCACACTTGATTCTCAGTGATTTTTAAAAAAATCTGCTCCCCAGATCCAATTAGTTTTGCATGCAAAGTGGTTACTCTCCAAGGAAATTCTTAGAATGGAATCAAAAGGGAATAAACAGGGAGGCAACGAAATCTGATTTTCTGAAAAAAAAAATATGCTGCGTGGGTGTGGTAGTGATTTTTGAGAGAGGGAATTGAAGGAGGGAATGGACAATACATGGCTTGAGACAAATTTTTAGCTCCTTTGGGTGACAGCTAGTTATCAAGGTCTTGTTTGTCATTTTAATTCGGCTTCCAGCCCCCTCTCCCCACTAGTCATAAATACTAGAGTATTTTGAGCTTCGTAAAGGTTCAGCAAATGTTCTTTAGTAGAGAAATATGATGCAGAAAGCAAGAATTATAATGTAGTGTGATATATGAAATAATGAGATAGGCTCAGTATTCTACAGAAGCAAAGAGGAGATATGTATAAATTTTGATCTATACACTCACACAAAAACAATAGATATATATGTGCAAAAATTGTGTGGAGGCAGCATCGGACCTTCTCTAACTGCACAAAGGGAAAGAAGGATCAAGGTCAACTGCCTAAGGCTGATACCTATGAAGTAGAGATATGCTGCCACCCTCCAATCTTCTTACCAATTCTGTGAGCAACCATCCCTTCCACAGCACTCTACTGTTTTGCCGGGCTCAGTAATTCATTGCACTGGCTACACAGAACTCACAGGCAGTACTCATGTTTATGGGGTTTAGTAGGGAAGGACTAGGTTACAATTCAAGATAAGAAATAACTCAGAATACAGTTCTTTAATTAGGACAGCTTCTCCTCAGCCCTGCCACAGGCATACTTCTGTCTGGCCTCAGCCTCTGCCCAGCCCCAGGCAAGTGTTTCAGAGCTCTTTTAGCTCTGCCAATAGGTGTGCAGAGAGGTACTCTACTCTACCAGCCAGACTCCTGCCCAAAGGCACTCAGGTTTCTCACTCCATGGGCCAGAAAGCTGGCTGCTCTGTCTCATGCTGTTCTGTTGGTTCTGCTGCCTCTGCTGCTTGCTGTCTCTCACTGTATCTTCCAATCTCAGCAAAGCTCTCTCTGTCTCCTGGGTTGAGGAGGTTCAGCACAGGGATCTGGCATCCAAAGAATGTGCTCCACTCCTGGCTGTTCCTTCTTAATGGTAATGAGATTCCCCCTTTTCTGCCTCTTGGACAGGCTCATTTTAAGCCTAGCAGGATGGCAAAAGTGACCAATCCCCACATTAGGGTTCCATACACCTTATTTGCATGATCCTGCCCTCACAAGGGTGCCATCTACCGTATTTACAGTCTTAACAAGCTATCCAGTCCCCTTGGTGGGCCACAAGCACCTCTTATTTGCATCTGGTGGGAATCGCAAAGACCGTGGTTAGAAGGGTGATGTTAATTCACTGCACTACCATATGTTTTCATTTATGGCTCTTAAGCATTTGTTCAAGTGATTACATTATCCTCTGCACCCATCAAATTTCAGTGGCAACCCAATTTTCCATTGCATGGAAGGAACACAGTCCTCTATGGTGGGACATTTAAATTGCTGCCATTTTTCCTGATAATAAAGGAAAGAGTTCTGTAGGTTGATACACCTAAGAGGATTTATTCATAGCACAAAATGCCTCGTTCAGAAAGATATCCATGTTTCTGTTCATTACTTCCTCCTCATGACATTTTAATCTGAGTTCAGTGGGAGGGAAAAACATTCTCAATTAGGTACTAAACTGCCTTTAACATCTTCCATTATTGTTTTGTAACATCTGATAGTATCCAAAAACAGGAGTCTCCATTTTCAAAGGTCTTAGGCTGCCATTGCAACCACCAAGGAAAAGAAAGAGCCAACCTCAATTTGTGACCAAAGCTGTCAGAATGTGGGCTGTGATCCAAGGCATGGTCCAGCAAGCTGGTGTCAAGTGGATGACGGGTTCTCAGGGCATAGAGTGAATTCAAAATTGAGTCCTAACTCTGAGCTGCCAGAGATTCCTAACAATGTTCTCTTTTGTCGTTTTCTCCAGAGCCATGTTTGACTATGACAAGAGCAAGGACAGTGGGCTGCCGAGTCAAGGACTTAGTTTTAAATACGGAGATATTCTCCATGTTATCAATGCCTCCGATGATGAGTGGTGGCAAGCCAGGCGAGTCACACTGGAGGGCGACAGTGAGGAGATGGGAGTCGTCCCCAGCAAAAGAAGGTAAGAGTGCCTTTTATATTTCAGAATATTTGCTTTTCAGTTATTCAGGGAATGTAGATGGGAGAAGAGGAAGATAGAAAAAACTGTTCATAAAAGAACTATTTAAATGAGTCAATCCATGAGAAAATTGTCAGTGGTGACAGGTGACACAAATTAAAAACTCTTACTCTCTTCGTATTAGAATTTTACCAAAATTGGTGACTGTGACAAGGTAGAAAGACAGAAAGAGACATTGTGCTCACACTGCCTTTTGAGAACTTTTCCCAGCATCCACATGTTCGATATACATGTTTGATTGTGCTTATCAGTCTGTGTGCTGATTTACAAACTCAGAGAGCTTGTTCTGGAGTCTCAGTATTTTTCTGACCATTTTATAATTTATAAAGGCCAAGGCGAAAGCCAAATAAGTTAAATGATTTTCTAAGTTAAGCTTCTGGTTGTGGAATGCCTCCAAATATTGATGGAAAAAATTGAAAATCCCCATCCTCAATTCAGATGCCTGAGATAAGAGCTGTCAAATACCCGAAGAGATGTAAAGACTCTGTTTACAGGGTTTTTTTGTTTTGTTTTGTTTTTTAACTATTGTAAAAACCAAAAACCAAACTCACTGCCATTGTGTCACTTCCGACTCATAGCAACCCTTCCTTGAGTTTCCAAGGCGGTATCACTACAGAAGTAGATTTCCCAACCTACCTTCTGAGGAGTGGCTGGTAGGTTTGAAACCCCAGCCTTCTGGTTAGCAGTCAAGTGCCTCAGACACTACGCCACCAGAGCTCCTAACACAGTTACTCTTACTTCTCATCTCAACCTTCAACTCCCAATTTCCAGTTGGATCTTTGTTTCCGGATATATGTTCTCTAACGTCAGGACTGTCATACCTTTTCTCTGAACATTTCTTCAAGTCTGCTTTGGAAAGACAGGCCAATGCTTTACAGTAGCCAAGTCCTTCATCTGTCCCAGCAGTTTCTAATCACCACTACCCAGGAGGAATTTTTCTTCCTACAAATGCATTTTTGATACCAAATAATAGGAAATTTCTGTCTATACTCTGGAAAATCGGTGTGTTGTGAAACTGAAGTTAGGAATCTTACTTATTCAAAATAGTCACCATCTTCTCTTGAGCTACAGGTTTCTCAAAGAGCCCTTATAATATCCTCATATCCAGAAACCCAATGTATCCTTGGAAATGATTGTCAGTGAAGCCAGATATTCAAGTGCTACTACATACAAAGTAATACAGTGATTCAAAAACCAAAACCAAACACACTGCCATCAAGTCAGATCCGACTCACAATGACTCCTCCTTGGGTTTCCAAGGCGATATCACTGTGGAAGTAGATTGCCCAACCTTCCTTCTGAGGAGTGGCTGATGGGTTTAAACTGCCAGCCTTCTGGCTAGCAGTCAAATGCCTTAGGCACTATGCCACCAGAGCTCCTGATATAGTGATTAAGTTGATAAAAAAAACCATAGACAAAAGATATGAATTATACCCAAGAAGAACTCCATGGGGCATGTGCACCCCAGAGAAGACTGGACCATGTCTCTGAGTGAACAGAGGATGAAGGGTAGGTAGGCGCAGGCATATTGTCCCCTGGCTGCACCCTCATGATTAGTGGGCAGAAGTCATGGTGAAGCAGCTGTAATCCCAGGACATCTCTCCATTCTCCATGCCTAACCATCTCCTATCTGCAGACAGTTCACTCCTTCTGTTCTCTGGCTGTCCTTCAACCATTGGGCTCCTGGATAATTGCCTAACCTTGCATGTGGGTGGTTTCTGACTTTATACAGTGGCTTGTAGTGTTTCCTGTATTCAAAGCAGTGACTTTCTGTGCCAGTTTATTTATATTCGGTGCTTCACCATTTCAATTTCTATAAAAAAAAAAAGTCAAAACAACTCACATGTCTTTTGGATTGCTTTAATTTAAGCCATCAGAACTGTCTGATGGGCTGTTTCCTAGAAGGAGCCATCATGTTGAATGTGGTCCCAGAGGATAATAATGAAGTGGTAGAAGGATAGCTATGGGGAAATAGATACCAGATCATTTCAAAGAATTCCTTTTAATAGAGCTGCCAAGAGATGGCCTGGACCACCTGGAAAGATGTGCCGTCGAGTCGGACCCGACTCATAGCGACCCCTCCTTGGGTTTCCGAGGCAGTGTTACTATGGAAGTAGATTGCCCAACCTTCCTTCCGAGGAGTGGCTGGTGGGTTTGAACCCCTAGCCTTCTGGTGAGCAGTCAAGTGCCTTAGGCACTATGCTTCCAGAGCTCCTATCTAGAAAGATAGTGAGCCAGAACCATAGTTGCCCCACAAAGGAGCATTATAACAACTTCACATATGCTACTACTACACACCACCTCGCCTTACACATACACACCCTGAGCGAGTGGAGTATGTCTTTAAAAGTCTGTTTTTGCTTATATGCTCCCAGATGATCCTGATGAAAGAAGATCCTTTGTCAGCAAATATTGTAAAAGAGGTCCAAGTTTTGGATGGGAAAGTGGAACTATATGATTTTCAGGCTTTTAGCAACACTGAGATTCTGTAATTTATTGTAACCAATCTTGTCAATAGTCATTCATGTGTTTGATTGCACATACTTTCCCCCTAAGCAACATTCTCAGTGTTATTCCTCTTGAGATAATTTTCCATCTGTTCATGATCATTGTTGAATTTTAAATGAAAACCATCTTAATCACCATACAACAGCCGCCCTTTAAAAGCTTGGTCTGATGACTCCAACATTGATATTTATTTTAATTCTATATTTCATGATGGGTTGAGTACCCCAGGGCTGGGTTCAGAGGGGTAGAAATATATTATCTGTAAGGGCATTTCTTCAAATATTCTCCATAGGATTTGAATTCTTTCAAAATGATCTTAGTATTATGTGTGCATAAGAGTAATGCATTTTTCTTGTAGAAAATGAGAAAATTTAGGAGAATATCCAGAAGGAACTGAAAATCACTTAGAATTAAGCCTATCCTACAAAGAATCCTTATCATCTAACTAAATGAAATTTAAAATCTCTTGTGGGCTTTTCAGGGCCTGATCTTTATTATTTTACCTTTAAATGAGACACCTTCACTTCACATGTATTCAGTATCTTAAAAACAACAGTTGAGAATAAATGGTAGAGGGTATAAATCTGGTTTACTATTAAATTGAGGACTTAAAAAAAAATCGTAATCCTCTCTAGTTCCTTTCCTGAATATGGTTTCTCTAGTAGAGCTGCTCTGGATCAATGTCATGTGACTTTATATTTGACAAAAATGTTTCTCTATCGATGATGCCATGTCACTGTCCCAATGAAGCCACGAGGCAAGTAACATGGAAATTACTGCCACCCTTTTGCAGGTGAGGAAACTGGAACTAGAGATGGCAAGTGACATTATGTAAAGCATTTCCATAATCATGTTAGCAGCAGCTTACCATGTACCAAGTTCTTAACATGTACTAGACACTGTGCTAAGCAATTTTTCTGTATTTTCTCCTTTTATATTTACCATAATCTTTTGAGGTCTGTGTTAATGTTCTAGTCTTATGGATATAAATCCTGAGATCCTAAAAGATTAGATGCCTGTCCAAAGTCACAGAGCTAGTAAGTGGAAGAGGCAGAATTCAAACCCAAGCTTATGTGATTTCAGAGGCTTAATACACTCTCTGTTACCTGAGGTCGCATAGCTGGTGTGAAGCAGAGCTGGGATTTGTCCTACAGGCTGGTCAGCTAAACTCCCAGATGGCAGCTTGTGCCTAGCATTACACAAGGATTTAGTCACCTAGCCTTCTAGAAGCAGCAAGCCAGTGGCCACTACTGTGAGGGCATTTCAAATCTTCTCTGACAGTGCAGGGCCCTGTGGAACACAGGCAAAAGAGCCAAATGATGTTCCCACCATCCATCCCGTGCTCTAAGCCTGACTCCATTGTGTGTTTGCCTGGATCCTGAAAATGCCAGATGGGAGAGAGGTGAGAGGGTCCAGGGAAACAGTTGGGCTTATTAAAGCATGAGCATTTGGTGCTCTGGAGGTGCTAGATGTCAGAATTCATTGTTCAAATGTTGCCATGCAGTTTGTTTTCAGTGTTTTGGTCAGTGACCAGGCTAGGATGGGGAGGATTATATCTGCTTAAATAATCTAATTAATTGCTTGACGCTGATTGTAAGGGAAGTACTATAGTTGTTCTCATAGGTTTCACTCCGCTCTAGAGGTTCTATACTGTACTATATACCATTTCTTTAGGTAAAGCCCTGAGGATCTTTGTTATCATTTATTTCTGCCATTGCTGTCTTACTCAGTAAAGCAATTAGAGAAAGTGATGCAGAACTTTTACATAGATTCTTACCAAGTGAAAAAGTAGTGAAACAATGAACAACTTTTTGTAAGAAACACTTGTTTGGATAAGTCACTTAACGTCTCTGATTAACCTGTGTGAGCTTTAGTTCTTCCATCTAGATCAAAAGCCAGTAGTCTACTTGATTCATACATTCACTCATTCATTAAACCATTAAGTATCTGTTATGTGCTCAGCTCCATGTGAACCTCTAGATTGTTGTACACACTGGAGACAATATAGGTAAAGTGTTTAGCATGGTGTCTAATACTTAGTATGCACTCAAATTATGGTTATTTCTCTTTTCTCAGGCTTTGAGATTTTAATGCCAAAGAAAATAAGACACCATTATTTAGAGCCCTATTTTTGTACTCTAACTCTCACTTCAGCAGTAAAATACCCATATGTATCTCAGGAGAGGAAGGGGCTGAGGCAGGTAAGGAAGGAAGGAATAAGCCATAGCTTCTGCTACCCAGGAGAGAGGTTTGCAGAGAGCCTCAAGAGGTGATAAAAATGGGTGGGGTAGGACACAAACATGATGAGGGTTCAGTGAATACACAAAGACTGCTTAGGTGAGAAACCAGTTTACTGTTTGTGGTGTAATGGTACAAATAGACATTTGGCTAACATGCATTTCAGTGTTAAAGCAAATTTATTCTGAATTTTGAGA